TCTGTGTTTCATCTGCACTGCTGCATGCCAAAAAATGCTTGCACTTTCTCTCTCTCTCTCTTTTCTCTCTCACTGAATGTGCTTTTCCACACATCCACGAACGAATCTGTCATCTGAATGGTAATCCAGAATGCCCAGATATAGAAAACCAAATTTAATTCCGGGCCTATGATACTGTACCAAGGTGTGATCCATTTGTGCTGATAAGGTGACTTTTGCAGAAAGCAGAGATGCTGTGACCTTGTTTATTGTGCCTGCTCTGTTCCTGTCGGTGTGATAGCGGCTGTTAAGGTCTTCTGTCACGCCGCTCGGTGTCATGTAATCAATGGCTCAGTGCCAGGAAGTGCCTATAGTCAGAGAAGTCATCATCATCCGTCTAGATGATGTGTCTGGAAATTTGATAACTTCTCCTCTGGCAGTCAATGTAATCTGAACAACTGCGGAGTGATCTGTCATACTAGAATAAGCCTACATCTGCAGATCATTCGTGTGGGGGTGTTTCTTCATTTATGAGGTGATTTTTAATTAAAAACCAGAAGGTTTCAAAAGTTTTATAAATTAATGAAGGTCACATTAAAAGGAAAACAAAAACCTTTCAAACTATACCATCCAGCAAATTATTATTATTATTATTATTATTATTATTATTATTATTATTATTATTATTATTATTGTTATTTTCAGTTGAAATACTTTGGAGAAATCTGTTGGGTAAATGCAGTAAAGCTGAATGTTTGGTACCTCAGGTAACATGAACTAGCAATAAACAATTATTTTTTTTTACTAACTAAAATTTTGTATTGTAGTGTATTTATAATTCAGAAATATAAAACTATCATTTAGTTACAGTTTAGAAAGCTCGGATACAAAAATGGCACTGAATTGCTCTCAATAAGAGAACTGGCTATTTTATTACAATAAATGTGTAGAATATAATTTGGTCACACTTTATTTTGATGGTCCTTTTGTTAAATTTAACTTACATTGCATCTACATGCCAACTAATGCTCATTAGATTATAAGTAGACTGTTAGGTTGGGGTTAGTGTAAGTTGATGTACTTGCAAAGTTTCTTATCGTCAGTTAAATCGCTGTTAAAGGTATCAGCACATATTAAGCAGACAATATAATACTCAAATGCACCATCAAAATAAAGTGTTACCTATAACTTGAATGATGTCATATGAAACAAATTGGAAATGTGGTGGATGCGTCCATGTTTTTAAAAATAAATTAAATCAATTTTTTATAGTTTTCTTGTATCTGTCCACTCTTGGACATTTTTCAACAACATGCTGTAGTTAAAGGTGCAATAGGAAATGCTAATGTTAGCCTGATAGCACTGAAAGCCTACATCCCACCCTTCAAGTCAGCATCCAAAGCCACCACTCCTGAACGCATGAATGTGCACTACAATAATAAACTACACTACAAACACTACAGTACTTCACACAATATTCACTAGTGAAAAACATAGTATTTTAACATGTTTCATGTGTTTTGACTGGCAGGACAGACTTTCGTAATGTTCGGACCAAACTTATGGATTGATCAATCCTTTCTTGGTCCTACATCATCCACAGATTATTAAAAAAAATGTAAATATGTCTTCGTCAATGATGTAGTGGTTAGTGCATCAACATATGCACCCGGTGCTCATGGCGATCTGAGTTCTATTCCCACCTCGAGGTCCTATGCCCATCCTTCCCCTCTCTCTGCTCCCCACACTTTCCTGATAATACTCTTTACTGTCCTGTACATTACCATATTTTATCCATAACCAACAGAAGATAAAAATAGTAGTTAATAATTACATAAAGAAAAACAGCATGCTTTTTTTTTCCATTGGATTGCAACCCGTTTTTTTACTAAGCGGAAATTCAACCCGTTTCCCTGGCGACGTTTGCTGGTTGCCAATTTAGTGAAATATATGACCAAAGTACCACATAATACCTGCCATGAGTATAACCGCATTCACCATCAGGAGGCGGTATAATTACTCTCGTAGGAGAATTTTGCTTTTGCAATACATGAGCAAGCTGTGGTCGTTTAGTGTGTGTATTCATCATTCCACACTTCATTTTACCGGTTAAATAGTGCATCATCCAGGTAATTAAAGTGCACTTACTATTTTCAGAGTTTTGAATGTGAACACACTGCTTACACTATTTATACTACAAGATGGTGTAGAATAGTGCATAAGTATGCGGTTTGGGATGCACCTATTGCAATAGGGTCAGATAAAGCAGACTGATTTCATGGTACCAGGTTAAACTTTGACACCTTTACAGCACTCACGCAGATTAAAAATACATTCATGCCACAACTGAACATGGAGGATGGTCTCTGAGTGGCGTTTTCCAAAATTAAACGAAGAATAGACTTGGGCCTATTGGTCTGTGCACTGTTGCGTGCAAGGTTTGTATAATTAGAACCACCTTAGAGGATATTGGGGGTTGCCAGGCTGAAAAGTTTGGGAACCCCTGACCTATTGCACCTTTAACTAGTTGAAATAGTGATAATTCATTTTAAACAAAGCGGGAAGCGCCCATAATTGAGCAAACACTACATGTTCAATACTCTTATTATACATTTTTTGGAATTTCCAATCCATTTAAATAGACAGTAGGGAAAAACACTCTTAAAAATAAAGTTATGCCCCAAAAGAACATAAAATGTATTGTGTTAAGTGTGTATAATCTAAAAAAAATATATTCAACTGTAAAGAAGGTCAAACGTTCCATGGATGGTAAAGGTAGTTCAGGTTACCAATGATGCCAGTAAAGAACTTTTTTAAATAATGTTTAAAATGATAAGCCTGATAAAACCATAGATTTATAATATAGATCTACCAATAATTAACACACCTCAGCTACAGTATACCTTTACAATTTATGACCTATTTTCACTCATTGGCATTAACCGACATCGACTGATTGCTTCATGTATGCATGTTGTCTCCATGGCTTCTGTCAATGACATCACAACCACGTTGCTTCATTGTTACCACACATCTGAATGCAATGAGGAGTAAATCCAAGCTCCTCCAAAACTGAGTAAAGTGTAGTGCATGACTGTGGATACGTCCTGAGTCATGTCCGCTTTGCTTAGCGCTGTGTTGCAGATTATTACCCACTGTTTCTTCAATTGCCTGTGTGTCTATGTGTGTATCAAGACATGCTTCTCTTTCTTTGCTTGTCACAACTTTTTAGTTTTCACACCGATGTGTCAATATACACACATAGCATACTGTATGTTTTGTGTTGGCCTTTTATTTGAGTTTTGTTTTGTACTTCCATTCATTTATTTGATTAAGGCCTGGTCTGTTTTGAGCATATGAGAATGTCCATTACCTTTATTTTTGAGTGATAACTGTGAACTGACTGCTTGAGTTCATTTATTGTGTCTACGATTTAATTTCATTTGGTTTGTCATCTGTCTTTCTTTGAGAAACTCTTAAGATCTGGTTGCACAGCTTTAATTTAAAGGCTTGTGTTGACTTAAGCAGCACTGGTGCATTGGATGAAGCACAGATGAAACTAAATTCTAGTATTAGTAACTAACTAGTATATTATTACTTATCTAAAAATCTCAGATTAATAAGCAATTTTCATTACAAAAAATATCCAAACCAGCAATCAACAGAATGGTTGCAAGTATGGTGTTCCTCTTATTCAACAATTCACTAAATGCAAATGTAAAATTAATCTACTTGGCATTATGACACCATACAATTTTCACTCTTGAATGAATCAGTATTTTTGAATGAACAATTCAATTACTCATAAAGCCTTAACTTGTTAGGTCATTAGAGGGATAGTTCAACCAAAAATGAAAATGTACTCACTATTTACTCTTCACTTGTTTCAAACCTGCTGAGTTTCTTTCATCTGCTGAACACAAAGGAAGACATTTTGAAGAATGCTGGAAACCTGTTAGCCTGTATGACATCCATGGTGTAGAAAAAAACAAGATACCAAGAAAGTCAATGGTTACAGGTTTTAAGCTTTCTTTTAAATATCATGTTGTGTTCACAGCAAGGCAAGTTTATTTATATTGCACATTTCATACACAGCATGTCAAAGTGCTTTACATAGACAGGAATAAAAGTGACAAGTATAAGAAAATAATAAAAGTGATTAAAAACAGATTAAAATTGTTAAAACTGGTTATAAATGAATGAAAAAGAAAATAAAAACATAATAGTGTAGTCTGCCGGATGTAGCACAGCTAAACAGATGTGTTTTCAGTTTTGATTTAAACATGCCTAATGTTTGAGCACGTCTGATCATTTCTGAAAGCTGATTCCCTCTGCGGGGGCAGATTGACCCTGCTTTGACTGAACCCTTGGCATTTCTAAAGTTTATATTAAATATCTTGGTGATCTGTTAAGTTTGTATTCAGTGAGCATATCTGGTATGTATTGAGGTCCTAGGCCATTTAGTTGTTTATAGACAAGTAATAATACTTTAAAATCTATTCTGAATGTAAACGCCAGTGTAAAGACCTGAGGACAGGTGTGATGTGCTCTTACTGATTCAATAGATGAAAGAAACTCAATCAGGTTTTGAACAAGGGTGAGTAAATGATAACATATTTTTTCAGATTTGCTTGAAATATTCCTTTAAAGCCTAAAACTAAAGCATACTTTTGGTTTAAAACAGCAAATTGAGTGATACAAAAGTTCCCAGTGCTGACCCAAGAAATTCCTATTCTTTGCAGTTCTAATTGGTGCCACTAAAAATGAAACATTGCCCATGAAATACTAGCTACTCAAAACAGCTAACAAACTTCTTGAGTGTGTATCTTGAAGCAACCTGATCTTGAGCTGTCTGTGCATTGTAAGGCATGTCCAGAACAGGGTCAACGATGTTGCGGGTGTTTTCTATCACACATGTACTGAGAGATTTCTTTGCTCCTCCCTCCTCTATCTCAACCCTCTCTCTTTGTCCTCACTCTGTTTTCTTTCTGTGTACTCGTCCCCCCTCTGTCCTTGTGCAGATGCGGGTAGTGAAAGCGTTCCGTAGCTCCCTTTATGACGGAATCGAGAAACCCGCGTCCCGGAATTCCATCCACAACTTCATGGCGCACCCTGAGTTTCTCATCAACGACTACATTCACAACATCCCGCTGATCGACGACACCGACATTGACGAAGAATCAGAGTGGTCAAGGCACAACCACCAGTTGCATCCGGCCTTCCGAAAGCCCCCTCCTCCTCCAGTCCAGCAACCGCAGCGCTCCCGCCCTCCGCCCCGTCCCTACCGCCAGTACAGCCTCCCTGCCACACCAAACCGAAACAACAACGCCATCGAGAGCACCGTCTACCACCTGAACCTCCCCACAGGCCCCGAAGGCCACTGGACATCCCCGCCCCAAAAGCTGAATCCCCTCCTCGCCCTGGAGACCTCACTATGACTGAGGGACGAGACCCTAAAAACTTTGAGGATCTGTGTGGATCAGGCTGATGGGGGAGGCTCCTAAGGACATATTTTAGGTGGTTGACCCCCAACACTATGACAGGGTCATCTCATTACAATCATCTGCCCACTACCACCACCATCCACCGGAAGCACTATCACTCCTCTTGTCTCGACAACAGCCCCACAGACACCTCTCTTCTCACCGTGTGGAGAGGAGGTCAGTCTGCTGTGTGTCTGTGGTTCCTTTGGACGGACCTGAGTAGGTGAGGGATCCAGATCTGATGGATTTTAGTGCTGGTGACTTTTGACTTCTCCGAATGCAAAGTTATTCGTTCCCTACGTGTGGAGTAGGGGTCCATTCACTTTACTTTTATCGGTGTTACTGAACTCGATATTATGATTACTATCATTTTTGACTTCTACTATAGCCACCTTCATCATGAGTGCTCGGATTTCATTACGATATCACAGATTACTACTTTTATTACTATGAGTAATGCTTTATGGATTAGCTTTAAAACATGTTTGTTTATTTATTTATTTATGTGCTCATTTATTTATTGTGATCACCAACTTTTATTTTTCAATGTCTGTTTCTCTCTCTAAGTGTCTGTGTGTGTGTGTGTGTTGTATCTGTCTTAAAAGCATAACAAGCTAGAAAAAAAAGTACTAACAAAGCAAAGAGAATATTAATTTGAAGCTTAGGCTAACTCGATTATAATGCGTCTGCTGATAACAAAAAGGCAAAAATATTGCTGCAACACATTGTTTGACAGAAATTTTGTGTAAAATATTTGATTATTTAACGGGCGATTTGTAGCTTTACTCTAAACGAGTGTAAGCTTTTTTTATTTTAAGATGGGAATCATGCTCATATTTTAAACATTCACACAATGTTTATGTTTAAAATATAAAACAGGGTAAAGGATTTGGGCAACCCCATCGCAGAGATGTTATGGTCATGCATGGGATTGTAGGTGGTTTCCGATCTTAGCATTGGCAATCAGCCTTACGACAAAATGGCCTTGTTAATATGTCTTACCTAGTTCAAAGTAGTCAGATTTGTAAGGATTTCAGTGGGTTTGCCCAGACTCAACATTTAATGGTGTCTTATATATTTCTTTCGCATTCAAGCCATTAAAAATTCATGTTGTGCAAATGACACCAACAAATGCATTAACCCTTTAAACATGAATAATTCTGTTCGCTCAGTACATGCATACCTGCTGGCCCTTTAAACGCATTCGCACTCACACTTGCTTTCCTCATGCGTGTGGTATACATTTATTAGATTGTGAATATCTATGGACTGTGGCCACCAGGGTAGGGGAATCCATCTTATACTGCCATACCATAGTTAAATATCAAAGATACTAACGATGGACAATCCATGAGGGTATCATTACTTTTGCACAATGTCTGGGTCCACTGAGCAAACCTTCGCCATGGACTTCGATAGGCACACTGTTTGGCTATTGGTCCATTTGTTAGCATTTCCCAATATGTTTGCACAGAACAATAATCTCTATTATATACATAAAGGCATGCATGATAGAGTGTTTGATTCAGTTACATTCCATTGATGTCCATTGATCAGCCGTACCATCCGGGGATACCTCCTTTTACACCCCATTATCGTATGGAATGGTACCGTTATGATCATACCGCTACAGTCGAAGCATTGTAATGTAATACAATCATTTTAGGGAATGAGACCGGCACTTATGCAACAGACTGCCCTGCCCACAGCTCTGTGAAATACGCTTCACAACATGTACATATGGATCTCGAGAAAAAAAAAAAAAAGAAAACCTTTATCTGTATAGAATACTTTTCTAGATTGTCCAGTTCAGAGAAACTGGCGAATATTGAAAGCAGACAATGCAAGCATGAGCGTCACTAGATCATGTCATTGCATTGGTCGGTTGTGTCTTTGCGGAGCATGTTGATATCATAGCGTTCGCCCTTCACTGTCATTGTTTGACTTCACTTTTGTCTGTCGATGCTTCAGTGTGGCTCTTAAGCAGTTGGTGGACACATGATTCTCCTCCCAGCACATCTGTGCTGTCATTAATGTGCTGTTGTCCATGCTGATGTTCTCCTCCTGATACTCTGCCCTGTTTGTGGCGTGGAGCCCGGAGGTGGAGCAGTGTCGCACTGCCAGTATGACTAATCGTTAAATGCCAACAGACACACTGCTTAAAATGGGTTGACTCATTCTTCGGCCAGAACATTTTGTCGTTGAATCTTTAAGCGGAAACCCATTTTTCAGAGGAATATTCTGGGTTTGGACCTTCCTTTTCTTAAAAAGAGCAAAAACTTAAGGATACAGTGTGACTGAAATTGAATTCAGAAATACAAGAATAATCACTTTTTCAATAGCACTTTACACTTTGACAGTCTTTAGTGTCCCTATGCTCGCCTCTCATGCAGGAAACATTTGTCCTCGTCCCATTCAAAGTTAAGCAAGTAGAACCAGTTAAAGTAGAAGTATGGAATGAGTATATCTGAGGCTAGCTAGAAAGAGTGATGTTGATAAAAATCAATTCTCTGGCCTCAAGACATGCAATAGTGACTGACAGTATGGGTGGCAACATAATGGGGGTTACTCTGTCCAGCAGACACACATCATAAGATGTTAATATTAGGGTAAAATTGGGTCATGACATCAGGTCACCAAAATTCAATGTCTAGCCTGTGTCCAGGGACTACGTTATTTTGACGTCCAATAACAATGTCAAAAAATTACGTTGATATTTGGTTGATTTTAGGTTGTGTTGGAAAGTGACCAAAATACATTTTCTGATTTATGACATAGTGGTAATCCACACAACGTCAAGGTGTAACATGCTTAGACGTTGATATTTGGTTGATTTTAGGTTGGACATTGAACACTGATGTCGGCCTGAAATTTTTTTTGAAGTCAAACCGATTTTCATTTCCGAACAAAATTCAACATCCCCACGACATTGGGGTACGTTGGGACACAACGTCAATATGACGTCATGTTGATGTCCTGTGCCTGCAGGCTGGTGTTGTGAACCAAATAGTGAGATGTAAGAGGATGAGTGTAACACTGGCTAGCTAGTAAGAGCGGACATTATTGCTTGGATATCATGCTAGCGTCTCCTTTCATGAAATATAGCAGGGATATACTTAAACCTACCAACATATGTTACCATTATTTTTAGAATGACTTAGAAGAAGGAAAACAAATTAATTTACGATTTAACTGCATAATTTTGGTTTATAGAAATAGTCTGCAATTTATACCACATTTATCAACATTTCTAAAATATCAACTCTGTAATGCGAACCAGAATGCTGTAACCTTGATTTTTGCTCTTTTTCTTTTCTAAAGAAAACATCTCTGTCACTTTTTCTGAATTCTGCCCCAAATGCTTAATTTGTGAACCCAGAAAATTCCTTAAAGCACATGTGTGCTGTATCTGCATGAATGTGTGCGACCTTTCAGTAGGTTCAATCAGTTTCAGACAGTTCCAGTGGAGTCTCTAATATGGAGAGCGCTGGCAGGTCTCACAGGCTGAACCCATTTGAAGGCCTAAACACAATCAGCAGGCCAAAGTGGTGGTCAGGGAGGATAGCTCAGTTTACTTGCTAAACCATGATAAAGAAACATCTCCTAACCTTATCTTATCCTCAGCAAAGCTTAACTACCAAAATAGGCCTCAAGCTAAGCTCGTCTTTGAATTTTTTATTATTTTTAAAAATCTAACTATATCTAAGACGTATACCCCAATCATCTCCAGACAGTGATGATATTTATATATTACAGTGGCATATGTATGGTATCCCTCCTCTCCACCACAACAAACAGCCACTTTATTAAGACTCCTGATAGAGTGACAAATATATATGCGCATATATATAAATATATATATTAAAAAAAGAAAACAGATAATCCAAAACTCCATCGTCTGCCTTCATTTTGTTCCATTCTGTTGTAGAAAAAAAATCACGCAAGGTAAGGTGAAAAAATGTAATGTGAAAAAGAGTAAATAATATACTATATTTAATATAAAAGTTATAAATTATTGTACAACTGCACCATCACTGTACATTTTGGCAAAATGTGCACATGTGCATTTTTTGTTTACGATTTAAGCACATTTTTGTTTGTTTTACTCTATTGTCTCTTCCTCTTTCTTTCTCTTTTTGCTTTTTTGTAAAGAATATAAATTGAACAGCTTGTACATTATTATTATTATGACTATTATTATAATTATGATTATTATTATTGTCTTTTTCCATCAGTGCTCTTTTAGCTGATGGAAAAAACAGTTGCACATTCTCCTGAACATACACTTACTGCTCTACAATGAAAAAAAGACAAAAAAGAGAAAAAAAGAAACTATTAAATATATTAATAATTACCTGCCTGTTACTTAAGAGAAAAAAAGTATCTATCTATGATGAAAGAACACAGCTGTATACTGTAGACTAAACTGTATGGAAATCTAAGAATTTAATGGGAAAATAAATCAACACTTTTTGTCTGTATAAAAAAAAATCTAATCAAAGTATTCTACAATAATAACTTTGACCAGTGTCTGTGGTTGTGTTTTTTATTGTGTGCCTGTGATTATTTCTTCAGCCTAATGATATAATATTTTTTACATACATTTTTATTTAGGTACATATATATCCTAAAAATGCAAAAAAAAAAAAAAAAATTGTCTGACATACAAGTAAGAACTACACAGCTCACATAACTGACGCAACATTTTCAAGAAAAAATGTACAGTAGTTTTCTTTCTTTTTAGTTAATATTACAGTCAGTCATTTAACATTTTCATTATGAAAGGTTAGTTGTCACAATTCCAAGATTTTACTTGAATCTTTCCTTGCTCAGTTTTTTACATTAAGGGAAAAGTTACTTAGCTTTCTGTTGAATAGTAACATAAACAAAGGCATAATAATGATAGCATCAACTCCCATGTGACATATGTCTCCATGTGAGGAAGCTCACGTTATGATTTTTTAAATAATTCAGTTTTTTGCATTGACTGACCGTTTTGTATAGTTCCACAGGTCAGGAACCATGGGTGTTCACTTTGTTTTGTCTATATAATTTTTGCAGTAACCATTGACAGTTGTTGTTTTATAAATCACAAAATTTTAATGTTTTTAAACAAAGGGGTGAGTAGACTAACAGCAAATTTTAATACCTTTCCAAAATAACAATCGATTTATATTTTCTGGTATAAATCTTAGTTTACACACACACAAAATCAAATGCTGTTACACGTTAGTTAACACTGACTATCCTCAACACAAACTATTCCAAGAAAATATAAACTAAATTACAATGTGCAAGTGGTGAATACATGATGTCAGAGCACAGAAGAATATTTTGCCATGGGTTCCTTCAAGATCTTTACTGAAGCAGGGCTCAACAATGAGGACTGCCCGATGGCCCAGGGTCAGCGTGAGAGACGCTTGGGACAGTAGACAGGATCATTACTGGCCCAATCAGGATAGTGCTGCATTTTCACTAAAGTTTAATGTGCCTGTGAGACTATTTGTCAATCGCGTGAATTTTAAGTTTGTGCTTTTAAACCTTTAAATGCGACCTTCTCTGTGATGTTGAGTTGCAGTTGCAGTTCCTCTTATCTGATTTGATGTTTTGATCATACTTTTTTTGCCGTAACCTGGTAACAACCAGTACAGTAAAGAGACGGCAACATCAAATTATGAAGCTAAAAGATTCTATCTGGAATCAGACATTTACGTGGGTACATTATAACAAAAAAAAAAATTAAGTGATGTTTTACACAATTTGCCGTCACTATGACAAGTTGGCCACCTTTTGGTAAATAATTTCGAACGGCAATAAAATACCTGCACATTTCCCATAATGCTTTTTTTTTGTTTGCATAACACATTGAATTTTGATAATTATACATTTATTAACGTTTTAAAATATTTAAATTCGAGATTCACAGACATTATTTTTGACGCATTATATAAATATGTGGCTAAAAACAGCTATTAATCTCTCTCTTTTTTTTTTTTTTGGTGGGGCCAGAGAAAATTTTGCCATGCAGGGCAAGAAAAAATCTGAATCATTGGCCCGATCAGACCAGTAGAAAAAATCTTTAGAGTTAAACCCTGCTGAAAGGTTTTGTAATTCAGATTTTCTTAAGAACTGATGAACTTGACAATACATATTTTGTTTTACAACATAAACTACCAGCACATTGTGTCTAATTTACAGTATGATGTAACAAAATAAATCTATTAGGCCACGTAAATCACGTTATGTTCACACAGATGATAGTTTTCCTAAACATATTTTATAATTTAAATAAATAAATATATATTGTGCCTGGCCAAGTAAGAAGAGAAATCATTGAGTAAATAAGACATTTCAGAAGTTTAACAGATCTAGAGAACACCCATAAACCAGCCCAAACTGCTAAGCATGGAATGCATTAAATCATATCTGATACAAGAACAGGAGGATTTTAGTTGTTCTGGGTTATGCTTATTGCTTCACTTGTAAAGTATAATACGCATGCATGATATGCAACCATATTTTGTAACTATGCTAAAACCATAGACTGTAAAAAAAAAAAAAAAACGTACATATATGCATTAACTATACCATGAACTGAAGAATTTGCTGTTTGGATCTACTGTAATAAAAAAGTTACCCATAATGGCCTAAACAGACATATGATAATTTTTTAAATAAATAAATAAAACCTTAATTGCCGTTTAGTAAGTAAATTAGTCACATTATAACAAACCATGAATTTGTACACGTTTTCTAAAAAAAAAAAGCAGGAATTAAAGACTATATGGGGGTTTAATTTAGATTATTATTTTAGAAAACGTGTCTTTTACCCACAATTTATAAAAGTAAAGACACACTAAAATGCCATATAGTATGTACTACAGAAAAACTATAGCAAGCTAGTCTATTTAGCACACGAATCGATTTACTAAAACAGCATAGTATAACACTAATGACCATATTTGTTACCGTGTAGTTTTCAGTTTTAATATGCGCGTGGCCGCTGAGCGTCGCTGTAGCGTCACAGACGCACAGACTCACTGCAGGAATAACAACATGGCGGGCATTTCGAAAGAACATCAGCTGTCTCTGCGAGTATACAACACTCTTCAGGTAGTTTGCATATCTTCATACACCCGCCACACACGCTGCCACGAGACATTTCATAATTTCATTACGCTTTGCAAACTTAAAACCAGCTGTTTTGTGTCATTAGTAGAACTTAACATCTAAATAGCTAACGTTACATCAGTTGCTAGTTTTTAAGCTAACGTTAGCGGCGATTGTATATAGTAACAGGTATAAACAGTCATTATTATTATTTCATCACTTGAACGAAGGTGATTAGTACTTTTTTATATAGTTTTGGATTTAATTTGGCTTGTGAGGCTCTTTAAATTAAGTAACGTGATCTATTTAGCGATTCGTTACATACAGTTTAAGAACCCGGGTGTCAGAATTAATAACGTTAGATGTGGTGTTTAAATTGTAATGTTTTCAGAGTTTGGGTTGTCCCCTGGTGGATGGACTGTACCTGAGGGAGGCAGATAGCGTTCAGGAGCTCCTCTGCACTCCGTCTTTTCACAGGACTGATATACTCAAGTGGATCTGCGCCAGGTCTGAATTACTGTTCACATTGCGATGATGTTGCCAGATCTGTTCATCATGACTTCATATACTAAAATGCATCGATATATTGTGTTTGCTGTTAACAGCATCTGTCCATCCTTAAAGGAAAAGTTTTCCTCTATTAAATCAACTCCTAATGAAGAATCGATTGAAGGTAATCCTTTAAATTACTTACTTAACTTTCATGTCAATTTGCACATAACAGCTGCACATATAACATTGTATATAGTAAAATACATGTGCATATGCTTGTCAATTTGTATACTTGCATTCACTTCTTACTGCTATTTTTAAAATATATTTATTATCTGTTTTTGTCCTGTCTCTGTAATTCTGTTGCATTGTAGAAGCTCTGTCACAAAAGCAAATCCCTCTTATGTGTATACGTACCTGTCAATAAAGCTCTTTCTAATTTCTGATTTCTAAATGTTTTGTTTTATGTAGAAGAGCTTCAACAAAAGTTTGGTTGACTCATTTTTTGAATTTTTCATGATAATTTGGTTCGTCTTGTTCTTTCTCTCACACAGAGCTCACAAGGTTTGGTTATGAGATGATGTTATGTAAAGCTAACGACAAGGATTTAATCAAGGTATGGAAATAAATAATTATGCAGATTTATACTGAAAAAAAATGTGTTTGCTCTCTTTATTTTTTCTAATGACCAGACTAGACTGTATAAAAAACCGTGCTCTTGGTTTTACTTTGGCTTTCATTATTGAACTTTACAGCAATACCTTTCTTGCACAAAATATTTCTATTAAATCAAGTAGTTTTATACTGGGTACTTGACATTTTAGATAGGAAAGACAATCTTATCTTAAATGTACAAACTAAAATAATTCATTTATTTTGCTATTTCTGACAACCGATTTGTTATTTTTCAGGGTCTTGCACCGCCTTTACGACAGCTGGTGTTTCTAGAGCAGCTTCTAAGGGTTATTCAAGCAGACTCCTCTCTGTGCTCTGGGTAACTCTTAAAGCATTTTGTAATAGTGATTTAACTAAATATGCTCTGATGTATTTGCTTCATTTTTGATCAATTTCCACTGAAATTTATTTATTTTTTGGTATAATTTTCCTAAACAGATATTACAATTTTCTTAAAACGGTAAAACCACACAGAAACAGTAATATTGTATTAATTAATTAATTTACTCACACTCACATCAGCTACGGTATAGATTATTTTTTTGCAATGCAGAATATTTAAAGAAAATTATTTGGGGATTAATAATATGCTAGTCAATGTCTACTAGCACTATGAAAGTCAAAAAACAAAATGATTCCCTTTAACTCTTGAAGATACAAAGAGCTCGTTGAAGCCAAATGCAAGCAACTGAACATAATTAGCATGTTACCATAATTACATTGTTAATTCACAGCCTCAGCCAAACTGAGCACACTCACGGCAGTCTGGAGCTAAAGCTTCATGATCAAGTTTATATGCATCCCAACTCACTTTTTCACATTGTAGAGAGTTAGCTTATGTCATATAATTCTTTCAAATGTCACTTGTGCTTATTATAAATGCTTCAACCTGTTGCTAAATTAAATTCTTTAGCATTGGGATCTGCCAAATCATCTCAGTGCATCTCCAGGTTTAACATCAACCTTTATTCACACCGTCTGAAAGTGCTAAATATTTTAATGTGAGCTTGTTTATATATGTCATTTTGTTTTGATGGATGCAGGCAGAACTCATCTTCTGGAGATGAAGGTGTAAAGAGCAATGATCTTCTTGAAGAACTGATCTCTCAGGATCATTTACCTGACCTCTACATGCTTCTGGATCCAGCCTGCAATCCATGGCCTGCACACATCCGTGAACATCTGATACGCACACATTCGGCTCACAACAAAATCAATGGGAACCACAGTAAATTCAGTGATTTCGTAAGCAGGTTTGTGTCTTTGTCAGTCACCTATAGTTTCTGGGTTTTTTTTGTCTGTTTTTTTAATGGTTTATTATTTTTGCTGTTAATAATAATCATTTCGCGAATCAGAATAATACAAATTTACATTGTAACACCTAGGGATGCTCCGATCAATCAACCGGAGATTGGTATCAGCCGATAAATCAAAGTAAATGATTTACAATTGCTTTTTATGGGTTTACAAGCAGAGGAAGATGCATTCTTGTGAATCAAATATATGCTCCAAACTTTTTCTTCATTGAGCCACATTGAATTATTCTTCCTTCATTTGCAATGTTTCCAAATTGCAATTGTATACTTCTTACCAAATTTTTTATCTGTTTAATCTATTATTTTCTGTAAAGCTGCTTCTGGCCATTAGATGTGCAAACTAAATGCTTATAAGAGACTTGTTTAAGGGATTATATGCAACATCATTTATTTTTCTTTTAGGTAAGTTAAAAACTTCAGTTAAGAAATGTACTTGAAGGGAAAAACGTGCTTTATGCAATGTTTAAGTTTTATAAACCTTGAAGCATCACAATAGGTAATCTGTATCGGCCGTACACCATGACGAGGAATCAGTACTTGGTATCAGCTTCAAAATTCCTTATCGGAGCATCCCTAGTAAAACCTCTCCAAATAAAAAAATAAACAAAAGAAACAAAGCTACCCCTTTAAAAGCAGGGTGATTAATGCCAATAGCCTCATGAGCAGTGTGCCAACATATAATGCCATTGCATTTCGGGCAAGGATTTGAGTCTAGGCTTTTATACCTTTCCCAATCTCAATTATTCTTTTCAAAGTTTCTACATACTGTCTACATACCATCCTATCATAATAAAGACAAAAATGCAACTGCAAAAAAGTACTAAAAGTCTATAAGCCACACTGATATAGAAACGGGTTGACAAAGAACTATTGTCTGTGACTGGCAAGTGTTGATCCAAAAGCCATTCTACGAATGCCAATTAATGGGCAGATATGCAGCTTTATTTTAAGAACTTACAAGACAAAAAATATGATGAATGATTGCCCTGTATGGTCTTTTATTAGTCTGTTGTCAAATAAAATCAAATCACTTTTATTGTCACATCATCAGCAACACGTGTGCTATGATAAGTGAAAAGCTTAGGTGCTGGCTCCAGCCAGTACAAAATACAGACAGTGCAAATACAATGACAGTGCAAAATACAATGACAGTGCAAAACACAGATAGTGCAAAATGCAATACAAGAGCATACTCCTAAAAAACACGACAATCTAAAATTGGCAGTGTTGACAGCGATATGTACAATGAATAGGTGATAATACGTGATAACGTCTTTTAATACGGTTGTTATTTGCTGCTTTTGAAGGAGTGATCAAGATTCCCGACTTGTAAGTCATGGAGAAGAAAGCTTGACGGAGGCCATGGCACTTCTGAAGTCTACTCAAAGCACATTAGATGAGCTCCATAAAGAGGTGGAACTACATTTCAAATCTTGAGGTCATGTGTGTTTTTTCTGTAATGACGTGATCCTCTCTGTGTCCCTCAGTGTGAGTTTCTGCAGTCACATTCTTCAGGTTCTGCAGTGTTGTCTCCTTGTGCACTGAAACTGGCAATCTCGGACATGTCTCAGCTCATGACGGCCTTCGGACACATCTATAACACTGATTTTAAGGGGTACTGCCAGCGATCCCCTCCAACCCTCAGTTCAGAGATGACTGTGTTTCAATCTGTACATCAGCTCCTGCACACATGTAATACGGTAAAGCTTTGCACATTCATTTGCTTGAGATTAACAGAGTTCATTTTGTGTTTTTGTTAGTTTAAAATCTGAATATAATTTAACAGGTTTTCTGAAGAGTTATGGTGAAAACGCTAAATTAAACGCTCTCCAAAGTGGATGAATTTGAAAATTTCATGTTGCAGTGTGGCTTTCAAAAACAATGACACGTTTTTTAGTCTTTTGACCAACTCAGCTAAAATAGTGGACAGTGTTCAATGAATACACACTCTCTAATGAAAATGACCTGCTATGCAAATGTCCATTTGTACATGAGCAATTCCATGCAAATGTCCACTTTGTCATGAAAATTTTTTTTATGTTTTTGCCGAAATATTGAAACTGTTTTTGCGTTTTTTGTGTAAGCAACTATTTTACAGTGCTTTAAAAATACTTAAAAAAATGTCTCTTTTTACCAAAATCACACAAGTGGCAATTTCACATTGGTCACATCTATAACGGAGAGACGTCACATCCATAACTAAGCTTTTTTCTTATAGATGCAAAAAAATGTCAAATAAAATAAAATCAGTTGTTTTTGTTCTGTAGTAAACAAACCTTTATCCTCTTGATTAGCGTTATTTCTTTTGGTTTGTGCAGTTTAATTCACAAAATTTCTACAAAGTACGTTGTCTACAGGAAACTCGCTAACTTTTTTTGTCGCATCCATAACGCATGTTTATTTTCCTCATTTAAAAATAAAAAATGTTTACAACTTGATATTTTTCTGCTCCCGTAACTCTGTGGTCAGTTGTTTTGGAAAATAGAAACAGATGTTTGAATATAATGTGAACATAGACCTTCTATATGAATTTATGTTTTGAGTTTTTACTGCAAATGTCACATCCATATTGCTGGAATGGCTCACATGTTTTATATTGCTTTCCTAAAAGGACACAGAAAGTCTACTCAGAGCTGTTATTTTGGCGTGTGTCTCAGTCTGTGTTCTCACTTGCTTTTTTGCAACTTTTCACTTTTTTGTTACTCACAGCTCCACCTCACTGTCGCTCCATTTTAACAACTTGCTGCTTTTCATCAACATATTTTCACCATGTTTTTATAAAGTATATTAAAAAAACTTTAGCACATGAGCATTTTTGGTCCTTTCAGCGTTTATGACCAGTGTTTGGGAAATGACAGAATGGCAGTTCAAAACAGACTTTACAGCTTGATCCAGATTAGTGTAGAAATAGTAAAAGTTTCTCAGGGTACTTGTGCAAAACAATACATTTTGAATGCATTATTTCTGCTTTAGAATATAAAGCTTTTTCAATAGAACGTTTACTTGGAGGAATGCACTGCTGCTTTAGCATAACGCCACAGAGTCTTGCTGAATGCAGTTCTTGTTTGTGGTTGAGAGAACAAAAGTGTTGAGTCAAATTTTTCCACCTTTTTCTTTTTTTCTGTCATCATGTCTCATTAGTGACTACAAATACTTTGCTTATTCAAATACAAATACTTAGCATTTTCTTTGTGTCCTTTTCAGGAGCTGGAGGCTGTGAAGCAGCTTTCTGAAACTTCCACGTCTCTTACACACACACTTCAACAGCTGCAGACAGACAGACGCTACTGGTCTAAAGGAGAGAAGCACACACTGCGTCAGTGGTTTTTGGTTTGTTTTGTTTTTTAAAGCAAACTTTTTCAAACTTTTTAACATTTTTTTTTTCTTCATTAGCCAAGCAGTTGGAGGAGCTGAAGAACAGATACATGGCTTTTCTCTCCCTGCACCAGTCATAGTCGGAAGGACTCTCTCACAGTCAGCAGAAACCTGCAGTCTAGACCTTCAATTGAAGTTTCAAGTGGCGAAAAGGTGTGAGGTGTAAAACCAAAATAAAACCACTTCTCTATATGGCCAGAACGGTTTTAAAAACATGTTATTTTACATCCCGCAATGTCATGCACTGCTAGACGCAATATGAACTAACAAAAGCATCTACTAATCATGAAATGGCTCCATCTGATAAGAAACTTCATCTTTCTTTATAAACCCCAGTGCTTTTAGTATGTTTTCATCTCCAAACAGTCACAGTGTATCAGTATTGCATTTATGTTATGTTTTAATAAAGACTCACCTTGCATAAACTGCACTTTTTAGTTTAAAGATATTTTTTACATTCAAACACGTCTGCTGAAGGAATAAGGGGTTCCCATCACTTCACACATTGATGCGAGTGACTGATGGGAGGGTCTTTCTGTCAGTCAAAAGCACATCTGTTGGAGAGAGCTGTAGTGTTTAAAAAAAGCTTTTCAGGTGGAGCTGATTTTGTTTGTGAGCTTCTTGTAAACATTTCTGTTGCTAATCGGAGCCAGAAGCCAATGGAGAGTCAACCACACAATCAACATGGAGAGGTGAGAAACAGAATTGTGTTTTCCTTATGTTGTTAAATATTACAAGTAGGGCTGCACAATATATCGTTTTAGCATCGATATCGCAATGTAATCATTCGCAATAGTCACAACGCGAGCATACGCAATGTTAAGTCTGGATTATAATTCATCATTTGCATGTGTTTTTAATGCCTGTGATCGTAAAGTAACATTAAAAGCATTTAGGCATAAGAAATTGTACCATTTGTAACTTTACCAACGATTATTTTTTTGGAATTATTTTTATTTTGATTATTCAGTTACTGTATTTGAATACCGTTTGACTCGGGGAAACGATAAAACACTTTTAATTTAGTCTTTTTCTTGATTTTATTTATAGATTGGTATGCATGAAAATCCTCAAAACATGTGAATACAGAAATGCACTGCAAATAGCAAAGACCACAATTAAAACATGTCGGGGTCCCCAAAAAATGTATAGAATGTTTATTAGATTTTATAGAGATTAACTTCCACTGCAGAACCCAATCAATAACATAACATAACATAAATTTGGCCAAATAGGAATATTCAGGTTATCTGGTGAAACTGTATTCATATCGCAAAATATATTGCAAAATAAAAAAGTTTGCAATGTTAGATTTTTCCATTATTGTGCAGTCCTAATTACAAGTTCAGATAAAACCTTTTGGTATAACATTTTGTTTTAAGAACCAATCCTTACATTTATCTAACGGCTTATTAGCTGCGTATTAAGATATTGGCTATTTAGTTGTTCTACTAAAGTACACATTCTACTTGATCTTATTCTGCATCCCATTACCTAAACCAGTGCATAATTACTACTTGAAATATTAATAAGGAGAAAATTAAGCAGTTATTGAGGCAAAAATCATAGTTAATTGTTTATTAGTAGTGAGAATGGACCTTAAATTGTGTGATCAGCCTTTTAATATACCTTTTACTGGAGGTACTATTGTATTCTATGTAGACTTGTTACATTCAAGCAGACTTCCACAAGACTACATCTACTGAACAGCACCTATGTGATGCTCATACTTCAGCTAAAAAGGTCCTGCATTTGTGTGTACAAGCAGAGATGTGTGAAGTTTCTTATTTGCTGAAGTCTTGAGTGAGAGTGTCATGTGGAGACATTTGAGGAAGAGTGACCTTTCAGTTAAAAAGTTCAGTTTGTGACCTAAAATAATGGCAAGTTTAATTGGTAATTGTTGATATTTCAAAATCACATATTAAAATGTTCTTACCTAAATTAAAGAAGTAAACTCTAAGATTAGTCTGAATAGCAATAGAAAACCATAGAAATTCACCATAGAAGTTGGTGTTTGCTTAACATTTCTGAGTATGTTACAGCAATAGATGTTTTCTGTGTTTATGCAAATTGTGAGGAAAAAGAGTCACTTTTGTGAGATATTTGACAAATTGCAGGATATAAAGGCAACACTTTACAATAATTGACACGTTGTTGATGTATTAACTATCATGAACTATACGTTTGTTCACAGTATTTATGAATCTTAGTTACCGACAGTAAATAAAAATGCAGTTATTCGCCGTGTAAATTCAGTGCATTAGCTAACGTTACAAGCACATCGTTGGATTTTAATATTGCATTAGTAAATGTAGAACTATGCTAAAAGCTATAAATGCTGTACAAGCACTGTTCATGTTATTAAATACATAAGCTAACATTAACTCTGGGGGCTGTATTCTCTGCTTTATTTTAACATTTCAAAAGGGGAAATTTTAAATATGTGGGATTATAACTCCAGTAAAAAAAAAAAAAAAAAGCATTTACCATAATGCAAAAAACGGGCTTTAATAGCATGGTGCTGTTTAGTATAAATGTGCACACAAGGTCAGTAACTTTTGTGTTATATACCTATTTAATATATTATGAATGTTTTGGAGTGCACAGGTTATTGTATTTTGTGTTTATTATTATTATTATTTACTCCTTGTCAGACTCCTGGGGCAGGAAGTAGAGCTGGTGTGTTAAACATGAATGATTACGCTAGTAAGAAGAGTGCAGCGCAGAGCATGCTGGATGTGGCTCTGCTGATGGCCAACTCGTCTCAGCTGAAGACGGTGCTTCATTCTGGAGCTCAGCATCGCTTCTACACTACTCTTATTGCTCTCATCTCAATCTCCATCTCACTGCAGCTGATTGTTGGACTCCTGCTCATCTTCATTGGTTAGTTAAGATTTGTCAGTTTCAAACGTTCTGCTCTCATTTCATTGACACAAACACTGATGTTTTCTTCAGTGAAGTCCGACCTGAATGATGTGAAGCAGCAGCCGAGGTTGAACACGATGAACAATATGGCCACCGTTTTTGTGTTCTTTACTGTGCTTATCAATATCATCATCACAGCATTGGGATTTGAGGCCGGAGGATGAGCAGAACAAATTAATTAAACTTTTTCCTCCAATTTGAGGCAAATTGTATACTGTTTTCACGAATGGAATTTTAATTAATATTTGTGGACATGTATACTTCAGAACGGAACTGACAACTCTTTTTGTTTTAGAAACAGCATATGATGTTGCACTTCCCTCACATCACTTACAAGGACAGCTTAAGTGACTATTTAGACACAAATTGTATTATTACACTTTCACAAAACAACGATCCAAGAACTGCTGCCATAATAAAACGTTTTTCTGCCATTCCTATCTTTTTTTGTTTGTTTTTTTGCAATTGCAAATAAGAAAACGTAACAAAAAAAATCTATCTTAGCAAATGTGTAATTTTAAGTAAAGTGAGTTTGTAGTTTAATCAAGTTTATTCACTCCACTGACAGTAGGCATGCTTGCATTGTGTCTTCAAGTAATGAGGCTTAAAGAATAATGCTGAGAACTTTCTTAAAACAACTTTATTTTTGCTCAAAAAGAGTTTCAAGCTGATGCATACAGGAAAAAAAACAAATGCCAGCCAAGGTAAGCAGATATTTTACAAGTGGTTTGCATGGGTTTAAATTGTTAGTCATTTTCCAATTTGACGAATGTTTAAACATTTTGTTCATTTACTTTCCGTAATTCACACAATAAAACATCAATATCTAACGAAAACTCAATATTAATATATCAGTAGCATAGCTACTTTTATGGGAAACTATTAAAACAAAACAGTAAACAAAAAATGAGCAATGCATTCTAATAGTGTTATCAATATTGTCGAGAGGATAATACTTAGGGTTTTTTTTTTAACAAAAATGAATTCAGTTTATACAATATATTTCTTTTATACTTTTTTTAAATAACAATCGTAACAAAGGCACTTATGTTACTACTAATGTAAATGTAGTGTGTGCGTGCTTGTGCCTCCCTCTACATAAGCATTTTAATGTACATAGAATAGCACAATGTGCGTATTAAATCTGCACTGCTTCAGAAGAATTCAGCACCCTAAAAATCATAGGGGGAAAAAACGGTTTAAACCAAGAAAAAAAAAGCAAACAGAGGCAGAATACCAAATAAAGCTTTACAGAATATCCCAAGAACATAAGCCTCTAACATACGGACACAGCGTAAATATGTCAACATTCAATTTTAAAAGAAAATAAGCTCTAAAATGTTGAAAATGCCCCAGTCATTATAAAAATTCACCTTTCATACGTTTCTGTTTCTTTATAAAAATCTGCAAGACAAATATTTGACTAACATATTACACCAATTGGTGGTGGCAGAACAACTCTATCAGAGAACATGGTTTGCCGTTAGATCAAGCTCTATTTTTGGTGGTTGTTTAAATAAGTGAGTTTTGGTTGGGGCTGATGACTATAATATGTTCTACTGAATGGTTTTGAATGGCGTCTCTTCTGCTGGCTCCATAGATGTGTATACATAATACAAAAAGGCAGCGATGATGAGAAACACCAGGATGCGCAGCCACGCCGGCACACCTGCAGACTTTGTGCTCTCTGCACTCTGGACGGGTTTAGAGCTTGGTGGACGAGAAGAGCTCTGATAGGCTGAGTGAGACTGGCGGGTGACAGGCCTTCAAAATAAGACGAAAAAGACATTTAATTTATAATATTGACATTACATTTAGCTTTTTTAAAACATTTAGTTTTGAAAAAAAGAAGCAAAATTACATGTATTACTGTGTGTGAGCACAAATGTCCAACATTTTAAAGAGAGCTCTACTTGTGAACACAGGTGCTTACAAATGCGCTCTAGAACGATACACCCATCCCGTTTCTATGCTTTTTCTCTGATCAGATGTCTTTGTACTTGTTTAAGCTGCATTTGCTGACATCTTTTGATCCTCTCACTCGAGCAATCTTTGTATTTATTGATAAATTTACGCCCTAGTAATTTTGTACTTGTTTGGCAACCATCAATAGGGAGCAAAAATGTATTATTTTCTGAAACTTTCCTGTGTATACAGAATAACTATTTTTAAAATGCAATAACAGAGGCCAGATAGAACCTGTGGACCAGATAAAAACTGTGTAAAGCACATGGTGCAAAAGCATTATGTGATTGTCCCAATCCACTTTTGATATTTTAAGGACAAAAACAAATACGCTCAGCGCTGAGGTGCATGGTCTAACAGGGTTGTGCTTACTCTCTTAAAGGTTCAGGACACACTGGAGAACTTTTTTTTTATATTAACAGATTTGTGTGTGTTGAGCATCAGTTAAGACAATGTTAGCACCTGTCAGCTTTAATTGTGGGGAAAACTGGATAATTTTGAGCTTTTGTCAGCTAATCTCAGCTTCCGGGTTTAAATTGATTTTTGGGGTGGGATCAAAATCGGCGACGTAGCGCAGTACTGCAAGTGCAATGATGACGCGTCGGTTTCTCATTATTATTCATATCGGAGTTTTCTTATCCTATGAGAAGAGCCGGCTGCTTAATTATTCATGAGACCTGCCAGACCTGCCAGAGTCAAGCCCGAGCTGAGAGACACGGACCCAAGCACACAGTTTTTAGGCGTTCATGAAGGCTCATATGCGTTTGTTTCCATGATCCACAGGGTTTGTTGCATGTTTTCCCCCGCGATCTTGTCAGGGCCGATCATACAGCAAAGCCGTGTGTGCTGCTAGCATTTTTGTCGGGAGAGCAGCACGAGAATTAGAGAATGGCGGACGCTGTCTTTTATCAGGAGTTCGTTCACATTCAGACACATCACTGTGCTGCTGTGTTTGCCTAAATCCTCCAGATTACCAGCAGGGCTAATGGTTAAAATAGACAGGTCAGGAGACCTGCTCCACTGAGTCTGCATTTAGATCTATGATTCAGACCCGGGGATTGAGGGAGAAGTCCTCATTTATAGTGTTTACATGAACACACTTATCTTTATAATGATATAAATTGTGGTTGTCTGTATATGAAATTACGAATAGCAAATGTAGCAGGGCACTAAATCACTGTTCATTTCTTTGCATTTTAACTTTGTAAACTATAAACTCGTGCGTCGTCTCACGGTTTGTCTCATTTTCTGAGCTAACTGACTACAACAGTTGGTCGCTCCCCTTCTCCCCTGCTGGCTACGCCCACTCCTGCCCGATGCTCGCGGAGCTCCACGCCCATTAATCATGCATCTTTTGAAAAAATTCTGAAGTAGACTTTAACCGAAAATGGGGGGTCTCATGGCCCTTTAATGAGTTATAGATGTGTTTAGAGAATAAACCAATCAGAGTCTCATCTCCCATTCCATTAAAGAGTCAGTTGCGTCGCAACATGGAACATTTTTCACAATTATTTACATGGCGGACTTTGTAAGTGGAAAAACTGAAAGCTTCACTAACAAGAAAACAATTAAATGGATCATCTCCAGTGCAAGAATAGAGAACGAGCCTCCTCCAATTGGCCTCTTTACTTTCTCATTCTCTCTGTTGTGGATAAGCAAATGGTGTTGTATGCACTCCACTGAAGAAGACATCCATTAGCCAACATAATTAATTTAGTTTGTTAATTGCAGAATTCAGTTCTAATTTCTGACCTGACAGGTGGACAATTCTATTCTTGTTTTTAATAAAACAAATATAAATATGCATATAACAAACAATAGTACTGCTAATAATAATATAAAAATGCAAGTTGTAAATAAAGTTCTGAATAAACTGGTCCATTGTATTTTGTGTTTGTCTGTCTGTCTGTCTGTCTGTCTGTCTGTCTGTCTGTCTGTCTGTTTGTGTGTCTGTCTGTCTGTCTGTCTGTCTGTCTGTTTGTGTGTGTGTGTGTGTGTGTGTGTGTGTGTCTGTCTGTCTGTTTGTGTGTGTGTCTCTGTCTGTGTGTTTTTAGTCCACTTAGAATCCAACATGGAAAGCATTTTTGTTTGTTATTGGCATGGATAGTTTTGACATTTAAATGGCGCTTACATGCCTGTGTATTTACTTCAGTAATAAATACGGCATTTCATGATTAATCATGAATAATTACGTTTTGTGATTAATCATGATTAATTACAAAAAAGTGATTAATCACGTTAATTTTTTTAATCATTTGACAGCCCATTACCTGATATGATTTACACACAAATCATTATAAACTTTTTATAAACTGAATAAATATATTTATTTAGGTTTTTATATTCATATTTATTTGAGTTGAATATATACATCCATGCATATATACATTAGCATAAAATTAAAAAGGTTAAATAACAAGTTCAGCAATTTGTGGTAATCTGCTGAGTCTTCTGCAGGTGCATGTTTTGCATGGGCTGGCAATAATAGCTTAGCTGTTTAGATCACCGTAATCACTAGCTTATTGATTTTTTCTTTGTTTTTAAATGATTGCCAGAATAATTAAACAATTTTAATTCAGTAAACCCATGAATGGATTCGTAATGTGAGTGTGTGACTTCATTTCAGAGGATATGACCTATTATCTTGACTTCATCGTTTGTTGCTCCACTTATAAAAAAAAACCAAGTAAAGTCATTGTGCCCAATTGAATTGAATTGATATTTTTTTATTAAAAGGCACACATGGCAAAAATGGGGCCGACAAAACCACAAGAGCTAACACATGCAGCAACTGTCTACACTAGAAGTCTTTCTACACTAGAACATTTTGCATTTTAAGCTTACCTCATGTCTACTGTATGTTTATATTTATGATTGTTGTTACAATATCTGTTACTCAGGTGCCATTTACAATAGAGTGTTTTCTCTTTAAAGAGATTTGTTGCTGTTACGACTGGCAATTACACAACTTTGATATCTTTGACCAGCGAAAAGGGAATGTTTATGAAAATGATTTCAGTTTGGACATACTTCCACTTCCAGATGGGCTAAAAACTGACTTTTGAAAATGGAGGCGTGGCTATTTACAGTCCCTATCTGATTGGTCTTCTGGACAATTGCATATCTTTCCCTGATATGTCAAGCTACTCTCATTTGACCATTACACAACAAGCAGAATTCAAATAGAATGCTGGTGAAATATACAGATGAGAGTGAATGCTCATGAATCTTGTATTTTAGGCTTTATGATGTGGACAGGTCGTTTTTCTGAAATGTATTAAAAACGCAAGTCATTTAAATTCTAAAACGCTGTTTTAAATTGAAAACACACAGGCTCAAAGTAAAAATAAATAAAACTATAGAGTTGGCTTTATTGTTAATGTGAATGTGTATTTTTTTAATAATAACAATAATAATAATATAATTAATATATATGGGGCGTTAATATATAAGGTCACTGGTTCGAG